GGGGGGGGGGGGGGGGGGGGGGGGGGGGGCGGTCCTCTGAGCAGCTGCTGCCGGCCCCCCCGGGGCGGGGCCCCGCACCCAGCCTCCTCCAGGACCCCGCCGCCCGAGGCCGCTAATTTGTTCCATTGTCAAGAGGACCGTAAACGTTGGGAAGGCGGGGCCCGGGGGGCTCCTCCCCATCCCCCTCCTCCTCTTCCCGGCGCCCCTCCCAGTCCCCATCCCCATCCTTCTGGTTCCCCGACGGGCCGGCCCGGCCCAGGGCTCCGCACGCCGCGCGCCCGCCCGCCCGCCGGCCACGGTGCTCGCCGCCCGCTGCCTCCGGCAGGCCCCCCCCGGCCCCGACTCGCCGCTCCCGCACAGAGCCAGGGCTTGCGGCCATCGAGCCGGCGGGCCGGGGATGCGGACGCCCGCCGCGGCTCGCCGCTGATCGCCCCCCGCCCCCCATGGGGCTGCCCTCCCGCTGAGCCCCCGAAGGCGGCCAGGGGAGGCTGAACGCGCGTCCTGACTATGTGCCCGCCGTCCCGGGCACCCGGTCCTCGGACCCGGAGCCGGAGCCCGCGCGGGACGGCGCCGCCGCTGCTGCCCCAGCTGCTGCTGCTGCTGCTGCTGCCGGCGGCCTGCACAGCCCAAGGTAAGCCCAGGGACCGGCCCTCGCCGGCCACGGGACGTCGGCGTCACGCCGGCTGGGCGCCTGTTGTGCCCTCCCACGCTCCGCTGGCCCCTCCGTTCCCACCAAGTTTCCTCCCGCACGCTTTTCTCTCACGCAGCTGCCCGAAACTTTCCCAAGAGCGCTCCTAGTACCTCCCTTGATGTGCTGCCGCGTCCACGCTGCCTTCCTGGACTCAGTCCGGGACTCCCCAGGATCGAGGAGGGCTCACAGATTCACGCCAGGAAAGGACTTTGGGTGGACCTCCACTCCACCTCCTCATTTGACACGTGGGGAAACTGAGGAGCAGGGCAGGGATTTGCCCAGTAGCACGGGGGGAGCGACAGGGTTAGGTTCGGGTTCCCAGAGGCTGACTGGCCTCATTTCCCTCACCCGGATACTGCGGGGGTCGGACGTGATGCCCTCCTGGCTCTCTTTCAATACGTGCAAGGCATTGGACTTCAGACGCCACTCAGGGGCCAGTCATGAGACTAGAATTCAAATCCCTGCTCTGCTTCGTGACCACAGGAAAGTGCCTTCCCCTCTCTGGGCCTCAGTTTCCCCATCTGTGAAATGAAGAGGTTAGAGAACATGACTTCTAAGACCCCTTCCACCTCTAAAGCTGGGATGGGACTTCTCTGTGTGGGGCTGGGTAAGGCCCTTCGCCCCCGGCCCCCAGTTTCTCCCTCCACAAAATGCAGAGGTTAGCCAGGTTTCTGCGGTTCCTGCTTAACGCTCTAAAACGATTCTCCTCGGACCAAAAGTTGCACTTTTTGTTATCAGGTGTAGGTGGGAAAGGTGCTAAGGGGTCGAAAGGGGGCCCTCCATGGGGTAAGTCAGACTTGAAAAGGACATCTCCCAACCCCCACCCCATTCTTCGGATGAGGCAAATGAAACCCGGGCAGGGGAAGTGGCTAGCAAGGAGAAGACTCCGGGCACTTTCCACTCCTCTGAGCTGTCCAGGAGAAGGGAGGGAGGGAGCATCTCACAGGGAGGTCTGGGCTACGGTGACCCGTGGGGAGCCCTGCCACAGTGAGAGGGCAGGGTTCCTGGAGCCAGCCAGATTGCCCCTGGGTAGAACCCAGCTCTCCCTTCTGTTAGCCGTCTGGGTGAGCAGCCAGAGTGACACATGGCAGGGGAAGTCTCTCTACCTCCGCTTGTCCCTCCCCCACAGCCTTGGCCCTGACGCCTCCCCCCCACAAAGCAGGATGGCCCCAACTTCCTCCTCTGGAAGCCCCTTCCTTCCTATCAATCAATCAATCAATCCACATTCGTTCATTTGTTCTAACCCTCTGTCCCTTCCACTTGCCTTCCTCCCTCCCTTCCTCCCACGCTGCCTTCCCAGGGATGGGAGACTGCAAAGTTTCAGGCTGCCGGAGTTCCCTGTATTGGATGATGGTCACGATGTCTGCTTTGAGAGGCAGTCCCTAAGCAGTTCCCCTTAGTTCTGCTTCTTCCTACCCTTTTGTCATTGGACAAGTCACCTCAACATCCTTGGGCCTCAGTTTCCTCCTCTGTAAAAGGGAGAAGGAACAAGCATTTAAATAGTACCCGAGAACAATGTCAGGCATTGCTCTAAGTGCTTTAATATTTACTACTAATTATACTAATTAAATATTAATAATAATTTATATATAATAATATAAATTGTTTAAATATTATTTCATTTGATCCTCACAACAACCCTGGAAAGTAGGTGCAGTTACTATCCCCCTTTTAGAGATGAGGAAACTGGGGCAAACAGAGTCAAGTGACTTGTCGAGGGTCACACAGTTAGTCTGAGGCTGGATTTGAACCTCGATTTTCATGACTTTCTAAGATCCCTTCCGTCTCTGGAAATCCAGATTTCAAAGCTCCTTGACCATGGGACTTCCCCTTGTTGGGTCTCCAGGATAAGAGAAAGAGGTTGACCTGTGTGGTGTCAGAGGTGCCTTTCAGCCCCAGACCTGTAATCCTTCTCCTGCCTGCCTTCCCCGCCCCATTCTTCCTCGTTCCAGAATGGAAGGCAGGTCCTTGGGGCTCTCTGGCCTGAGCCCACTCTTGGCCTCCATCCCCTCCCTATCCCCAGCCACGGACCCAGCAGAGAAGCCAACAATCCCCAGGAAGCCAAGTCTTCGGTAGGCATCCATCACTTTGCACAGTAGCTCTGGTCTTGAAGGAGACTTTTTTTTTTTTGAAACTTGAATTGGCATCTTTCCATTGCCCTAAATTATCAAGTGTTTCTGAAATGATTTTCATTTCGCATTGGCCTTCAGCTGAGAGTAGCTTCCATCCCTTCTGCTCTGGGTTCCCAGACCTCCTGCCCTTTTTATGAAGAAAGGATCATCACAGTCCCTCTCAACTCAGTCTAGGACCTAGCTCAAAGAGCCCTGGGTTTGGAGGCAGGAGACCTGGTTCTGAGTCCCAGTGCTGCTGGATGACCTTGGCCACAGCTCTTCTCCTCTGTGGGCCTTGGTGTCTTTATCTGTAAATCTGGGGGGAGGGTAAGGTCTCCAAAGTCTACTCCGGCTGTAGACTCCAGTGTACTGTTTGAGGCAGCTTGGTCTGGGCTGGGAGGAACCCTAGTATTGGAGCTGGAGGACTCCTGTTCAAATCCCATCTCAGTTACTGATATCTGTGTGACCTGCCGCTCAGATTCTCTTCTGTGAAATGGAGAGGTTGGACCAGATGACCCCTAAGGTCCCTTTCAGGCCCTAATCATTGATCTGTAAAGGAGCACTCAGCCCAAAGTCATTTGTGGAGGACCCGGAATGTGTGGGGGGGGCAGGATGTGCATAACCATGGCCTGGGGCGTCTGTGTGGTAAACTTTAGGTCTTTCTGAGGACACATCTCTGCAGTATTTCTGCTTGCCATGGCAGAGACCTAAGGAAGGCCCCACACACCAGGTGCCTCTTAAAAAGACTGAGCTTTCAAAATGACATGATGCTTACTGCCACTAGGGGCGCCATCATTCCATCGTGTGCGTGTGTGTGTGTGTGTGTGTGTGTGTGTGTGTGTGTGTGAGTCTGTCTGTGTGTCTATGTTTGAGAGAGACAGAGACAGAGAAAAGCAAAAACAGACAGACAGACACACACATACACAGGGAATCAGAGAGATGGGCCCTGCCTAAAGGAAGTCCTGGGCCCAGTGAGGAGGGCGCTAGCTCTTGAACCCCAAAGGAATAGGCCTTCAGGTGACTTAGCCATAGGCTTTTGAAAAATAAATACACTTTGGAAAGGGATCCCCTGGAAGGAAAATGTCTTGTGAGAATTTGTCCTTTAAGAGCTTTCTGAGAAATGACTTTCTACCCAGCTCACCAGCGGATATGAGACCGCCCCAACCTCAGCATCCTTTTTGAAAATGTCCGGAGGCAGTATGGTACCTCCTGGTGTCAGAGAACTTGGGTCTGAACCTCCGTCTTCACTTACTACCTTGTGACCTTAAACGAAACTTACTCTCTCTGGGCCTCAGTTTCTCCATCTGTAAAATGAGTGGATGGATAGATCTTCTCTCAGGTTCTTTCCAGTTTTAAATTCTATCCCAGGGAGGAAGCTAGAAGTGACCTTAGGGTTCATCTAGTCGAGCCTCCCTCATTTCACAGAAGAGAAACCACCAGCTCCTGTGCTGGACCACAGTGCCTCTCATGGGAGACATTTGGTACAGCCCTGGAGCGTCTTCACTGGGTCCTTTGGCCCAGCGTTTGTCAAATGTGCTTGTTTCATGCCTCCATTAGTTTCCTCCTCCCCCTAACCTGTCCACCCGTGACAAGATGGGTTTTAAAAATACATCTTCTCTCTAAGGATTGGGCCCTTGGCATCTGTCCTTCAATGGAGTCAAGGTCAAGGCCTTTGATCCCACCCCTTGAGAGGTGAGATTAAGCAGACATCCAAATGCCCAGTGGGACTTTTCTTTTCCCTCCCCACCTTAAGAGGAACAGTGGAGTGGACAGGAGGCTGCACCTGGAATCCAGAGGCAGGCTGTGGGTCTGGCTTCTAGCCCTTCCTAGCTGTTGGGACCCTGCACAAGCTGTGGAACCCGTGGGAGCCAAGGCAGCTCTACCACGAGAGGTGTGAATGGATGGCGCTCTGCTCCATGGAGGAAGCACTCCCACCCTGAAGTTTCCATTACAAGAAATCCCTAGCTCCCTAATGACATACGTATCCAACGCACTTACATTCGCCATTGTGTATTTGTGTGTTTGTGTTCCTCTTCTGCCTTGATCGGGATCGCTTAAGTCCCAACCCTGTATATTGCCCAATGAAGGGCTTTTGAACCTTGTTTGCATCGCGGAGCCCTTTGGCAGCCCGGTGAAGTCTATGGACTCCACAGCATCATGGTTTTAAATACATAATATAAAATGCACAGGATTTCAAAGGAAACCAAAGATTGATGGAAATAAAAATCTACTTTTCCATCCAAATCCATGGACCCCCTGAAAGTATCCATGGACCACTTGGGAGTCCATGGCCCCCAGGTGAATAACTGGCGTCTGAAGTCTAAAGAAACTCCCGCAAAATTCCTGTATGGCCGCTGTCACTGACGCTGTCACCGAGGCAGCTCAGGGTAGAGTGGAAAGAGCCCCAGAGCAGGGTCAGGAGGAAGACTGAGGTTCTAGTGCCCCTCAGACATTGGCTGACTGTGACCCTGGGCAACCTCTCTGAGCCTCAGTTTCCTCATCTATAAAGTGGGGACCATCATAATTTATTATATAAACAACAGGAAACATTTAGTAAGTACCTACTGCATGTAAAACAGCATTCTGGGCAAGATACCAAGTTTAGATAGGATGTTATCCCTGGCTTCATGGAACTCAGTGTTAGCAGTGTGTTAGGACACCCATAAGGCTGGCTCTGCTATACACTATTTCACGATTTGGTCAGAAGGGGGGAAACAAAAAAGAACACCCCAGGAGGCCAGAGGGAAAAGTGACTGATGGGGAATCAGGGAGCACCCTTGGGAGGAAACTGGATGGCCAGGGTGTCCAGCACTCCTGAGTGGCCCCAAA